GAGGAGGTGCGGCCGCTGACACTCATTGACAGAGTGGAGAAACGGAGAAACACACCGACACACCGACTCTCTCAAGGCGAAGCAACTGCCAGCCATACAGCTTCGAACAATAACCCAATAAAACGGCGGACTGAATTTAACGGAGGTGAGTATTAATATACTGTAACTTTTCTGGACAGACGTTACATAAAAAAATCGACTACGAGTGATGGTTGCGCCAACTTTTGTTATGTGTGCATGGTATTATCACATGGTCATGTAATGGCTGACAACAGGTATTTCCATGTGGCTAACACACTATTTTAGAATTTGGTTAGGAAAGTTCTTAATATACGATGAAGAAATGCACGTCACTTTCAGACAAGTCATGCCTGGACTTGTTTGCAAGTTATGAGGAAGCGAAAGGAAAGGTCCAGAAAGTTGCCAGCCCCCTGAAATGTGGAGTGTCACGCCCTACACTAGCTAAAGGTGCAGCACAGCCGATTTTCTACAGTCTATGAGTAGGCCTACAGTATATCCTACTCTTACCCCGCACTTGCTCTGGTTATGTCACAATCTTTCTTTCATAACCCACTTACCCAAATATGAAATGTACCATTAACAATATTTGGGGAAACAAAACTACTGTAGTTGCAACAGGAGTAATGTCATAATTGCCTTACCTCGAACATAAGCTTGCATTTTAGTTATTAGTTTCGTTTTGCAAATAAAACATTCAAGATTTTGTTTACTGTAGAGGACTCTCTTGCTATATTTTCAGTACTGCAATGACCCAAATAAAATCAGAATATTTCAAAAATAGATCGATAATGTACAAACCCTGTAACTGATGTACAGTATAACATATTTATTTTATGAACAGCTAATCTATTATAACAAATTCTTCACTCATGTTGGCTCTCCTGCATAGGCAACGTTTTGCATTATTTTCTTGACATGAACAATGAATTGATGATCAAAATAGTGGGTGCAGAATGTCTCTTGAACGATTAACATTTTAGCCTAAGGATGAACTAAAGCCCCTGTTGTCTGTTGTTGCCATAACAGAAGAAGCCGTTGTCAGGCCGTCAAATGTAGTAGGCTTAAAAAACAGGTGTTATAGGCATTTGCCTCTTTGAAAGAGTGTTTCCACTTCTGTTTGAGCTGCTCACCTTCTAAAAATAGCCTCGTTACACCATACAAAGGTTCATCGTGATGGCAAGCCGCAGCAACACCATTTGTCATATAAACAGATTTGCAGTTTTGTGCCAATATCTGATTTGTAGCTAATACCTTACAGGAACCATGTCCAAGGGACCAGCAGTCGGCATTGATCTGGGCACTACCTACTCCTGCGTGGGAGTGTTTCAGCATGGCAAAGTAGAGATTATTGCCAATGACCAGGGAAACAGGACCACACCCAGTTATGTTGCCTTCACTGACACTGAGAGGCTGATTGGGGATGCAGCCAAGAATCAGGTGGCCCTGAACCCAACCAACACCGTGTTCGGTATGAAACATTTTCTTTAAGTTATTATGATACGTTCAATTTTCAGTTTTCTCTAATTTGTTGCATTTTTCTTAAATTGTTCAACAGATGCAAAGCGTCTTATTGGACGTCGATTTGATGACGACGTGGTCCAGTCAGACATGAAACATTGGCCTTTTACTGTCATTGATGATGCTACACGCCCCAAAGTACAGGTGGATTACAAGGGCGAGACCAAAAGCTTCTACCCAGAAGAGATCTCCTCAATGGTGCTCATTAAAATGAAGGAGATTGCCGAAGCGTACCTCGGCAAGGTACAACTTGATTACAACAAGAAAAACTATACAAGGGATCTGCAACTCTAATCAAAGTTAACATGATATTAAATCTACTTTTAATGCTGAGAATGTAATTTACTTGTGTCTTAATAATTACTGTAACTTCTCCTTCTTGCAGACTGTATCAAATGCAGTAGTAACTGTGCCTGCCTACTTCAATGACTCTCAGCGCCAGGCCACCAAAGATGCAGGGACCATTTCCGGGCTTAATGTCCTGCGTATCATCAACGAGCCGACTGCTGCCGCTATTGCTTATGGCCTGGACAAAAAGGTGAAATAATCCTAAGGCTAAGCTTATGTAAATCCAGACATTTCATGTGATATACAGCACTAAATATTGCTTTTTTTCAGTAAATTCTGGAGTTCACATCAATAATTGAAATATGTCGAAGTAATATACACTTTGATTTCAAGGTTTTGAAATATTCCAAAATAAACTGCTAATTACAATACAATAATGTCAAACTACAGGTCGGATCTGAGAGAAACGTCCTCATCTTTGACCTGGGTGGTGGCACATTTGACGTCTCCATCTTGACTATTGAAGATGGCATCTTTGAGGTGAAGTCCACAGCAGGTGACACCCATTTGGGTGGGGAAGACTTTGATAACCGCATGGTCAACCACTTCATCTCTGAGTTCAAACGCAAGTACAAGAAAGACATCAGCGACAACAAGAGGGCGGTGCGTCGTCTGCGCACTGCGTGTGAGAGGGCCAAGCGCACTCTGTCCTCCAGCACTCAGGCCAGCATTGAAATCGATTCTCTGTACGAGGGAGTTGATTTCTACACCTCGATCACCCGGGCCCGGTTTGAGGAGCTGAACGCAGACCTGTTCCGAGGAACCCTTGAGCCTGTGGAAAAGGCTCTCCGTGACGCCAAGATGGACAAAGCTCAAGTCCACGACATTGTCCTGGTGGGAGGTTCCACTCGTATTCCCAAGATCCAAAAGCTGCTGCAGGACCTCTTCAACGGCAAGGAACTCAATAAGAGTATCAACCCTGACGAAGCAGTGGCTTATGGTGCAGGTATGACCCCTTCATGTCCATTAATCAAATTGTAAACAAAAATATCCTGACAAAGAGATTCAACAAGAAATTAGCGGTAAATGTAAAAATTTAAATCCATTATTTTGTATTGCAGCTGTGCAGGCAGCCATCCTGTCAGGAGACAAATCGGAGAATGTGCAGGACCTGCTGCTGCTGGATGTGACCCCCCTGTCTCTGGGCATCGAGACCGCTGGAGGGGTCATGACTGTTCTAATCAAAAGGAACACCACTATCCCCACCAAGCAGACCCAGACTTTTACCACCTATTCAGACAACCAGCCTGGTGTGCTCATTCAGGTGTGACCACAGTTATTAGACAAAAAGAGAAGGTCATTATATAAGAGAATGAATTGCATTTCAAAGAAATCATAATTAATGTTTCAAACCATTGCATTAACAGGTGTTTGAAGGGGAAAGGGCCATGACCAAAGACAACAACCTCTTGGGGAAATTTGAGCTGATTGGAATCCCCCCTGCACCACGAGGGGTTCCTCAGATTGAGGTGACCTTCGATATTGACGCCAACGGCATCATGAATGTGTCCGCGGCTGACAAGAGCACCGGGAAGGAAAACAAGATCACCATCACCAACGACAAAGGTAACCTGAAGAAGAATGTTGACGCTGTATCTCCATTGTGACATTTGTTACGATATTACATTTTGTTTCAATTTACAAAAAATACTATCAGGTCGCTTGAGCAAGGACGACATTGAGCGTATGGTCCAGGAAGCAGAGAATTACAGGGCTGAGGACGACGTGCAGAGAGAGAAGGTGATTGCTAAGAATGGTCTGGAGTCTTACTCCTTCAATATGAAGTCCACTGTGGAGGACGAGAAGCTGAAGGACAAGATCAGCGACGAGGACAAAAAGAAGATTGTGGATAAGTGTAACGAGGTCATCAGCTGGCTGGATAGAAACCAGGTACGAAACTAAATATGTTTGGTGGTCAGCTTTGGCAGCATAGATGCTAAAGAAAATATGTGTTAGCATCAGATTATTAACTTCCTTTCCCTTTCTCAGACTGCAGAAAAAGAAGAGTTTGAGCATCAGCAGAAGGAGCTGGAGAAGCTGTGCAACCCCATCATGACCAAGCTTTACCAGAATGCAGGGGGTATGCCCGGAGGGATGCCAGGTGGGATGCCAGGGGGGATGCCAGGCGGCTTCCCCGGCGCTGGTGGTGCTCCGGGAGGGGGGGCATCATCCGGCCCCACCATTGAGGAGGTCGACTAAAGTCGAGCTTCACAAAATGGTTATATTCAGAAAAATGTACCAGGCAACTTTGGGTTTGTTTAGTTCCTCTTTGTACACCAGGCTTAAGTAAATACTTTTACTGTTTGTTCTAGGTTATTTTCTAGCAGAGCTCTTCATCCAGTTAAACCAGTTCTTTGTATCGACGCAGGTTTTCTTTTTTTAATGGAGTTTGTTGCATTGCAAAATAAGACTAAATAAAATACTTTTTTGAACTTGAAGTAATAGTGCATGTCATTCATAAAACTGTGACTGATTTTGTGTGTCATCAGTGTATATATGCTTAACACACAATATTTTTCAGAAATTATATTATTATACATAAAGCTATTCATTAAGTGAATTGTATGATGTGGAGTTCAGGTAAGTCATTTTAAAGTTGATTATACCTGAACTCATCATACAATCCAGGGCTGCAGTTGATCAAATATATAAATATTCTGATCATAATTTTAACTTCCCACAATACAATGAACATTAAGAGCGATATTGTCAAATTTAATTTTCATAGAAAACTCAAATGAATATATCAAGTGATTCCTAAACTAACAGGCAGCAGGGGGCGATCGAGATGTTCTGGCTTCACTTTTGAAGAGTCATCACTTTGCTGTGGTAGCATTTAGAAACTGAATGTTTTGACTGCAGTAGAAAATTGTTAAAAAGTTCAAAGTAAAAAGGAGAAAATGCAGTGAATTCAGGATGACATTAAGAAGTATTATTTGATTGAATAAGACTGTGATATGAATGATTTAACTAAAATGGTCACTGCTTCGGTGTTAAACATTAGCTGAAATACATTTAGCTGCATCACCTCAAATGTTGGTATACCATTGTGTACCTCTGCTTAAAGTTTTATTAATTTAGAGAGACAATACATCCAACAAATGCCTTTTTCTTCCCTAATTTTATTTTGCTTATTCAGGTAGAAGTTGAGTTCATGTGAGTATTGGTTCCTCTTGGTCATACATTATAGACCAGTGCTTTTGTGTGTGGAAGTCATTGGCAGGTTAGCGCGAATTAGAGTTTCTTGGGCATTCGTGCATCCGGTAGGCACACATGTAGAAGATACCTAGAAGACAATAACCAGATAATTAGACATCATCATATATATCCATGATGCACACATATGTGTTTTATCTGAGTTGATGTGGTACGATGCATACCCGAGAAGAAAGTGAGCACCACTGCCACCCAGCCCATTATATAGGACCAGGAGAACCGCCAGCTGCCATAGCGTTTACCATAGAAGTTCACCGTCACTCCTGTGTAGACAGCCATGGCCAGCAACACAAAGAAGCCTGCACAATAGATACAATCATTAGGTTTAACTGGCAAAGGTCTTCCTTACTAAGAGAGGCGTGCATGTAGCTATGGTGGAGTAGCTTACAGGAGATGAAGAAGAGAATGCCGGCTGCAAATGTCTTGTCAAACCCATCAAAGGAGGAGTAGTGGATGAAGGCCATGACGCCGATCACAATGCCAATGAAACAAGCCAGCAGGGAAAGAATCATGAAGGCACGGGTGGCGTCCCAGTATGCTGTGGGTGAGAGATGAGTGACACATCAGATTTCTGTCTTGTGCTAAATGAGGATTTCAGATTTGTTTTAATATTTTATTCATATAACCCATGTCATTTATAGTGAAGGAATGTTTAATTTTCAGTCATTCATTTAAATGTTTTTCTTATCTACCTTTTTATCCAATAACGTTTCTGACAGAGTACTGAAAATGATTTATTTCCCTTGTAGGCCTATATATTAAATATATCAAGGTACAAACTATTTCTTAAAAGTCACAAAAACAATTAACTTAACTAGCAATATCTCATGACATATACTACTTTGCATTTTTAGGCTTAACAATCGCCATACTTTAGCTAACAACCCAACAAGGCTAAAAAAAATTAGGTAGTTTCCACGTGGATCAGTGCAAGTGTAGAATTGAGAGTTGACAGACTGGTTGTCAGCAAACTAATAAATATAAATGAGGATGTGCCCCTGCACACGCAGCGAGTCTTACCAATGCTGTCAGTGTGAGCCATGCATTTCCCGGGCACACAGTACCGCCACAGACCCTGGTGCATGTAATTGCTGGAGTGACGGTACTGCATCCAGTAGTCAGTTGCCGTGGAGACGATGAGGAGTATGTTGCCGATTCCGGCACAGAACAACCCACCTCCCATGAAGCTGTACATCCTGCCAAAAACACTGACAGACACACAGAGAACAGCAGAGCAGGTCAGACTATCCCAATTAGAGCAGGCATGTCCTGTTACAGAGCATGGGGATACACTCAAAATGTATAAAACAATATCTAATACAAATTCAGTAGGGTGACAGAAAAGTGTGCTGGATCTTGACATGTCTGAATATAGTAACAGTACTCAATGACACTGAGAGGGAATCTACACAGTGGTCAGGCTGCCAACTCACACTGACAATTGATTAACCTCCAACACCGCCAGGCTGAGAGGTGGGTCCAATAAAAAAAAAAAACATATTTGTATTTTAAATAAGGACCACTAGTTTCTAAAGATACTTTACATATCATTTTGAACTACGAAGGTGAATTAAATGAAATAAAAATGAAGGCCACCACATAAATAATACCTTCTTTATAATCTGACTGTTAGGCATTTATAATATCATGGCATCTTGGATTTCAATAGTTCATAAAAATAGGGGTGCATGCCCCACAATTTAAAGCTTCTGAAATGGGTAATCAGGTGAGATAAATGAAGAGTTCAAAAGGTTAACTAACAATTGTAGGATAAAGAAAGATAAGACAGAGAATGAATCTTTTGAAAGATGAACATAAACTCTATTTCACACAATATATTTTGATATTGATGGCCTACCTTTATCTTCTTCCCTCAGAAAAAGTCAGAGATTCCAATATTTCGTGTTCTCAAAGCACAGAGGAGCCCAATATTGCGCAGGACAGGCAGGAAAGTTTTGTTTGTGCGTAGGAAACCAAGCGAACAAACGGGTGGTGGAACAATGGAGCATGCTGAGCCACAACCAATCACAGAGGATGAGTTTTGTGTTTTAGGGAATTTGCTGAAAATACAAAACTGTTAAAGCGCTGTGCACATCTGACTAATACTGATGACACAGAGCTTTTAATTCAAAATGCTGCACAACCACACAGTAAACTCATGGCCTGCAATAGGCTTAACCAGTAGCCATTGCTGGACAATCTTATTTAACAGTTTCGAAATGTAAAAACTAAACTCATTTTTAATTATGTTTCAGCTTATATGTTTAGGGACAATCATTGTCTATAATGGTCATGTAGTTAACATGAAATACTCAAGTCCTTTCTGCCTTTAAATACAGTTCCAAATTATTGTAATTAAAGTAGTGTGCTCATTTATATAAAATCAATACTTTTTTAAAGGTATGAAATATAAATGATGAAGATACTAAAGCAACAACACTCACTGTGTGTGCTTGTAATGTATTTTCATCTTTCATAATACAGGTTGAAATACACACTTAATTCATTAATATTTAGACTCATACTTAGTGGTTGCCCAGCACTTAGTTGGCAAGGCCAGACCAGGGTCAGTTTATATTATATTCTAGATGGAAAACTGCTCAGACATTCATAAAAAACATACATGTGTCAGTGGACACAGCTGCATAAATCCACAGGAGAAAATGCGTACAGATAACATTTAGCAGCATGATGATCTGTGTGGTGGACTTCTGATGACATCTGTGTTTACATCTGCTTTGTAATCAGTAAATCTGCTGCTAAAAGATTGGTTTTTCATAGCACCATGTAGAGATTAGGAGTTGGAAAATAGTTATTATTGCTGATAAATCATTTACTCCTTTCATGGTGTTCAGTAGCGTTTTAAATAGAGGAGTGGGTCACAGATGATACATCAGGACATTGTACTTTTAAGATAGAAACAGTGGTGGGGCAACAATTACAACATCACCAAGTTACAATTTCACACTTGTGCCATTTCACATCTCCCTCAAAGTTAAACGGTTTTATCCGACTGGGTACATACCTTCTCTGCTCAATGTGCTGTTACCACTCAATCCTATTTTCCTGCTGTGTGGGTACAGCCGTAGGCCTAAATTAACGTCTGCTGAGCAAACTCATTTTACCACAAGTTACCCTGCTGCTTGCATGTTTGGGTAACTCTCAGAAAGATGCTTGGGATCCTGACAGCCTGAGAAGGTAGGCTAATATCCCTTATGGACAACACACATGTAAGCTAGCATTTAGCCATTTGGTTTCTGGGAAACTCTCCATAGTATTATTTATGTAGATCGTTTTGAGACATGTTAAGGACACAAGGTGATATTCATTCCCCAAATAGCTTTCAATTAAAACTTTGAAAACCAGATGCTCTTTATTTGCTCCTTATAAAAGTTATTGAAAGATTCTGTTCCTCCATTCCTGTTTCTTCTTGTTTATGTAAAAGTAGGTGTTACCTGGAATAGGTGCGACTTTTTCTCGAGCGACCCACAGGAAATCTCCCACGTTGAGCTTTCTCACATCGAAGCTCACTCCGTTCCTCTGCAGCTCTATGACCAGATCCTGCTTGCAGTTTTTGCTGCCGCTGCACAAACACACCGACAATTCAGGAAACACACACACACATGTATACGTTTGATTCACACAGATGAAACACACAGCTGTCTTAACACCAGTTGTCTCAATGAAGTCAACACAGAGGATGATCTCGTAGGAGCCACAAGGAAGACTCCATGAATTTGGGTTTCTGCTCGTTGCCAGTACATTTTGGGGTTTTCCTGAAAAGAACATTCCAGGAACGACAATCCTCGGCTGGGAAGCAGAGCTTGGCCTCTCGGTAGGTCTGGAAAAAGAAAGTTCAATTAATTGTAATGTATTTACGATCAGTTCAACAATACAAGTGCAATCATAAGACATAATGGAGATATTTATGTCTTAAATATACAGTATATTACTAACAGATCCATAATTGGAGAGAGTTCATGTATTAAACAGAAACATTACAAGCTAAAACACATAAAGTAAAGTCAAGTAAAGTCTACATATTTTTGTATAGTAGAATGCACCGTATTTGTATGTATTTACTTTTTACATGAATATAGTTATTTTATATCTACTTTAGCATTTTACTTGCACCATTCTGTTTCTTTTGGGACTATATTTATTCCTTTTAATGTCGTTGTATATGCATTTCAGAGTAGAAACTAGTAGTACTTTTTGAGATAATGAAATTTTTGTCCCAGAAGAAGGTAAAGACTTCTAGGTTTTGAAGCACACTCACTGTATTATCTCCTCTTCCTTCTCCTCTTCATCAACATCACTAGCAGTGAGGTCAACAAAACCCGGGCCACTTTCCTCTTCATCTTCCTCCTCGTTTCCTTCACTCCTGTCCTGGCCTCCTCTCTGTCTCCTTCTGGACCTTTGGTTCCCTCTAAAGACTCTTAAGCGCTACCCTAAAGCCAGACCCTCTTCTGTCAGGGAAAACCTGAAGAGGGAGGAAGAGGGAACACAAATGTGACCTATGGAAAGCCCCTGTCTCCACTTCGAAACACTCTGAATTGGTTTAAAGAAATTGGTTCAAAAAAATCTGAAATCCTACAGAAATAATGTGTGTGTGTGTGTGTGTGTTTCCTGTGTACCTTGCAGGGTTGTGGGTCCTGTGAGAACTACAGGTAATATACTACTACTACTATTACTACTAGTACTACTTTTACTTACAGTGTATACTACTACGTACATTTGATATCTAACTCCTTCAGCCCACTTTCAGCTCGGAAAACCATTCAACTATAACATTTTCCAGCTATTTCAGGACATTGAGGCTATACATGTTGTTGTTAAGCTTCATCACTATTTTTCCTACTCTTCCAATTTAACATTATATATATATGATATATATATATATATATATATATATATATACATATATGAAAAAAGACATTATATACAAAGATAGCTAAATAGATGGATATAAACACACTTTAAAGCTATTATATTAAAAAACATTCTATAATTTATATAGTGTTACAACAATTTGTATAGGGTTTTGGTGCATGCAAGAATGCACGTAAATATGTATATCTGCTAAGACTGGTGCATGTTAACTAAAGGATATTATGTTAGAGGCCTAAACACTTAGGATAGCACAATGCTCCCCATTATAGATAGTTTATGTTAGTTGGAAGCTTTTAGACCACTGTTGAAAAAGAGTATATCTTCCAATGGCAAATTCAGGATGTTCTATTTGAATATATAAAACATGTGTTTTTCCTGCTAAGACAAGTGCAAATGTCTCCTTGTTATACCTGATGTTATGTATTGATGTGTGGCACCTACCCGCTCCTGATGATGCTTTAAAAAAAAAAACATAACTTTATCAAATCCAACAGCAGCTGTTGATAGTGGATGTCCTGGTTAGTTAAATTCACTGCCACTCTAAATGCTTTAAGTTCTGGAGCAGAGGTATTCAAAGTAGGACGCAGGCCTCCCATGGGGCTCCAATGTTTCAGGGGAGGCCCAGTGATTGGATTTGAGCTGTTTGTTAAAATAAGATCAGAGATAGCGCACAAGATATATCATTTTGTAAAGACATTAGGTGTTATCTGAAGTAATGCCACACTGCAATATTAGGCTATGTTTGCCTAATTTATGAGTGCCTTTGTGATCAAATAACATAATCAGGATCCCATGGGAATGAATAAATTAAGCAAAACTAAGTAAATATAGTAAAGAGGGGTTGCGCCTTTTCAAAGCTTCATGGGAGGGGAGGCCCAGAGGTTCAGACTTGTAAAACCCCTCCACTAGAGGATTTACTGATGACCAGCAAAATACATAACATGGCGTCCCTGATCACAGTCACCCTGCGTGTCTCCGTTATGACCAACAGATGGGGCTATTTATCCAGTTGCAGCAAAAATTAAAACCTGAGTTGGATTTCCTTGTTGTTGTCAAGGGGGATTAACAAATGACTTGTAACTTTCCAAAGGATGATGACACCAGCACCTCCTGGGGAGTTTTTTTATGACCAACTGGTCATATTTCTTCAAATACATGGTCCGATACAGATTATCATCTGTAGAGTCAGTATAGAGGTACAACACTAAGGATAATGTCCTGCTGGCATGTGGGCTTCAGATAATAATAATAACTTATTTCTTGGAAGTGTTGATGACATTTAGCCTTGCTTTCTTTAATTAAAAAAAAAGTTGTTTTTCTTCTACTAATGTTTTATTCAATAGTTTAATCTTTTCATTTTGATTTCTTTGCAGACTTTATTTTCTTTGTCAAGGACAACAGAACAAAACAGTTGTTATACTTCATTACATTCAAAATACAAGCTCACTACCCCCTCCAATTTGTTTAACTGAAATCAAAGACAACATCCTGTCAAAACAAAACAAATAGGCCTAAACCCACAAACATAAATCTTTCTCTTGTTGAATGAATAATCCAGACTGCACACAGCCATACAATACAGTTTCAACATGAGACACAATCGTAGACAACCCAAAAACACTCCAGTAGGAAACAAAATCACCAGAAAAAAGCCCATGATTTGTTCAAATATATCCTCCCATGACTCTGTATGTAACTTAATCAAATGTAGTCAGCAGCTCAAAACATTCCTCAAAGCCACATCATTTCCAGTGTCTCACTATTAAAGCACAACTTGTTGTTGAAGCCAGACTGATCCATAACCCTTTTTGTTCATTCAAAGTGATTGTCAGAATGTCAGGTTACAAGGCCAGTACTGTATATTTAGAGCTGGAGATTGAATCAACTGTAATAAAACATTACATATTAAAGACGAGATTTAAGGTGAGGCAGAGAAACGTTCTCTATTCAGATGAATGTGAAAACAGCCTTTTAGTGTCAAACTCTGCCAACACATCATTGTGCACAGTGAAGGTCATTTTACTGAAGTAACACATAGTAAAACACATTTTGAATGGAGGAAGACTTGAAAAGTAAATTATAGGATGGTTAATGTGGAAAAATAATCATCCACATTATAATAGTGAGTCTCAATCAGGAGTTTGTGTACCCAAGGGTGTACTTCCGTTTCAAAAGGGTCCCTGGCATATGAAAAATGGAAAAAATGCATAAATAATCCCAAAACTACATTAAAATGATAATTAGCTTGTAACAATTTGTCAACTCGTGCTGAGATTAAGAACCTGGAAATATGTAGAAAGTGAGATAAGAACATCTGCTGTGATGTGCAAAAGAAGTTTGATCTCCTCTGATGTTTACAAGATGTTTACTTTAGGGCTGATTTGCTCAAACATCATAACCTGTTTGGAAGCCAATTGTGGTCGAAATCTAACCTACAGTTTGATAATTAAACTTTAATTTAAAGTATTGCAATCCCTATTATGGTTTATGTCTGAAAACATGTCTGGAATAGGCTTAAAGCAGTTGGATATAGACAATTTCCAAAATGAAGTTCAAATACTTGCATAGAAAAATAAAGATCTATAGCACTAGTAACACATCCTACTGTTTTATTTTTATTTATTTTTATTTAGCCTTTATTCAACCAGATAAAAACATTGAGATAAAATCTCATTTTCAATGCTGACCTGGCCAAGAAGGCAGCAACGTTACACATAACACAAACATATAAAATACAGAGAACATAACTAACAAAACAAAAGACAAAAAAGCAGTCTCTACATTAGGACAGTAAGATAAGATAAAGATAAAGATACACTACTTATTACTGCAAGAGCAGCTGGTGGTAAGGACTTCAGACAACTTCAATTTAAAACATGCTATTGAGACAAGTGCCGTCAGTTTGAGGTGTGATTGAAGGTCATTCCAAGACCAAGGACCATAATAAAAAAGACTCATTTTTCCAGCCTCAGTCCGCACAGCAGGTGGAACCGTATCCAGGCACTGGATCTGAGGTTGTAAGAGTCACAAACTGGAGCAAATCTGGCACATATGTACAGTGGAAGCTTACCTAAAATGGCTTTATACATGAATAAAAACCAATGCTGCATCCTACGCAGAGTAAGTGAGGACCATCCAGTTAGGCTATACAGTTTGCAATGATGAGTCCTATAGGGTGCATTTGATATATAACGCAGTGCAGCATGGTAGAGTGGGTCAAGTTTGGCCAAAAGAGTGGGACAGGCAAATCTATAAATTATATCACTGTAGTCAAGCTGGGACAGGAATAAGCCAGAGACCAACCTTTTACGGGAAGAAATTGAAAAACAACCTTTAAGTCTGTTAAGGAAGCCAAGAGTGAATTTCAATTTCTTAGTTAGAACTTCAAGGTGGTGTTTAAAGTTTAGATTTCTGTCCAGCCAAAAGCCCAGATATTTGTATGTATCAACAAACTCAACGGAGCTACATTAAACATTATTACATCAAGGGTGTCCATGGAGAGGCTAGAGGACGTTGACTTGGGAGCGTGAAAGCATTGCTTTGGTTTTCTTACTGTTCAATAGCAATTTTGAACCAAGAAGTGCATGCTGCAGCGTGATAAAATCTGATTTTAAATTGGAAACGGCCATATCCAGAGAAGGAGCACATGAGTATACAATAGTGTCATCAGCATACATATGATAGGTAGAAAAT